CTACTTTTAAGGCTAGGCTTAAAACTGTCCTTTTTGATAAAGCTTCTAGTTAGAGTGGCTCAGGTTATCCTGATCTATCTCTATAGTTCTGCTGCTATAGGCTTAGACTGCTGGAGGACATAGGGACCCCTTTTTCATCTTTCTGCTTCATTCTATCTCTATTCTCCCACTCTGCAGAATCTGTTAGTTCAATCTCTAACGGAGAGAAATATCAGCTGTGCTGCTGCCATCAACACCTTTGTTTCTAGATGTTGGAAACTGGCCTGTTTTTCAGTGTTTAATCCTGTTTCTCTCCTGTAGCTCTAGGCTCTAACTGGGTCTTCTCTCTTTCATCCTCTGACATGAAAACTTTCTCAGAGTTTGTCTGATTAACTGTTTCTTTCTCAGATAGAGCCACCTGAGTATCTAGTTTATTATATTCTGTTTTGTTATTTGCTTTTCTATTCTGTTCTAATCTACTGACAGGATGAACTGAGGCTTCCACCTCTCGGTTCTGATGGGTCCAACAGCAGACTTAGACCCGGATGGGTTTGGTTCTGGTGCAGTTCTGTCCAGTCCTATCTAGATGTTATTTTTCTTATATTTCAGTCTGACTCTAGAAGCTGATCTTCTGCATGTGGTCTTTTGTTTTTGATTGATTTGACGCCCACATAATGCTAACTTTCTCCATCCCATCGCCTGACTGAAATGGCCTTTTTGTGCCACTTGACTTTCTCTCTCACACACAGCTGCATTTGTCTTGCAAATCCATCCCCGCTGCGCTGCGTTCAGGCGAGGAAAAGGGAGCAGTTGGATATCAGTGAAGTTCAAGCCAGGGAACAAGCGGAGAGGCTGCTCCAGAGCGCAGGCCTTTGTCGATATCAGAACGGAGAGCTGGTGAAAAATGATGCATGCTTTTACACCTCTGAATCCTGGCAACTGACAGCGCAGGCGATGGGGGTGGAGGCTGTGGGGTGCAGAGGCGAACAAAAGCCCCCCCGGTCTGGACGGGTTGAGTGTCCGCTTGCGCGCGACGGGAATCAGCCGCGCAGAATGCGGGAGATGGATGGCGAAGCACACGTCCAAACGGCCGTGACTCCATTTGCATATTAGCAATTTATCACTTTTTTGTTGAGTTATTCAGAGATTTATAGAGTCAGACACAGAAATTCAATCATCTGTCAAAATGAGGGAGATTTTCCTCCGAACATTCAGATCCTCCCTCCTGCTCTCTGAAATCAGCCCAGTCTGCTGCACTTTTCAAAGGCTGAAAGGCTGGAATATTTTATGATGGTGCAGCGAAGGCTGCGCACAATGCCTCCATGAGCGGGACGCTTTCAGGCCGACAGACTGAGTCCTTCTGCCTGGGGGAGTCAGAGCGGAGCCCCGGCCTCCGGCGCAGAGGTCAGCCCGGCGTGTTCGGTCCACCAGGAGGGTTTCCAGGGGCCAACTGGCCCCATCCACCCCACACACGGACCCCTTTCAGCGGGGCGTGAAAGGCAACCAGAGTAGCCGCAAACACCCCCCCCCCCCTTACAGAAAACAGCTGGAAGCTAATTTATTGGTTTCCTCCCATGAAGCAGAGGAGCAGTCAGACCTGCTCGCATCTCATCATGACGCAGCAAACCTCCACCAGATCGAGGGAAGCGAGGCGCGTGCTGCTCTCTGGCTTTTACGCATGGATACAGTTTTGGATCCTCCAGCAGCACGATGAGGAAAACTGATGTTTGAGTCCCAGAAACGGCCCTCTGTGCAGCCAGGAAGGTCCCTCTGCCCTGAGCTCACAGCCCGCTTGTCTCCTGTGTTAGGTGCCCCCCCACCCCAGCCCACCGAGGGGAGGGGCTGTCTGTGCGCCCCGGTGCCACATGTTGCCTTCGGTGCATTAAGCTGGATTATTCAACAAGTTCAATTTCCCATAAAGAAGGAAAGTTAGGATCTCAAGGGCCCTGCGGAGACAAAGGAGCAGCGCCTTAGCACCATATGCTTAATGGCTACAGCCGCTCAGTCTTTATTAAAGGCTAAAAGTGGTCCTTTAAAAGTTGGAAAGGCTCCTTTATTTGAGTTAGATGGAGCACTTTGCGCACAAAACCAGGAGCGCGCATTGCCAATGCCTCGCCCCCTTCCCCTTCCCTTTCAGCGTGAAGCGGCCACCGTCACTGGCCGTTTCACTTCAACATAAGCTTTTCATCTCCGCGCTTTGTTCCCCCTGAAAGTAATGCTGCGAATCAAAGACATGACAATATTTTCCATCAACTTGGAGACCCTGGACAAGGGCCCTCGAGCTTTGGCAAAAATCAGTGCTGGTTATTCATCCTGTCACTCTGCACCTGTGGTCCCGCATTCAAATGACACAAACCTGTCCCTATTAACATTAATTATGCCCAAACAACACAAAGGCTGAAACAGAGCAGGTTGAAGTCTGTTTATGGCTCCTAAATGTTTTATTCCTCTGAAGATGTGCCCGGCGCTTTTCTCTCCTCCTCACCCAGGACCGAGGGCCCGTCTCCCTTTCAGTCTTGAGTAGCCCTACAGCTCGGATTGTACAATCGCAGCATCTGCTTAATCTGCGGGATGAAAATATGACAAAAACAGAGCTAATAAAGGATTTGTTACATGCTGGTAATGAGCGATCAGCGCGGGACACAATGGCGCGCGATGCTGAGAGCCATATGTTTCTAGAGGCACCGGGGATGGTTTACACTCTTGTGAAGAAAGCACCAGGTGATGACAAGAAAATCGCCAAATCCGCCTCCTTTCTGTCCTGACAAAAATAGAAGCCATAAATTAAAGTGGCTTATCGCGGCGCGGCTCAAAGAGCTCGCTGTTAATTGGCTGCGGGGCACAAAGCGAACGCAGGGACCCGCTTGGCTCGGCTGGGCCGCGGAGCGCCGCGCAGCTTTCAGCCCACTGTAAACACATCCACAATGTGTTTTGTTATTGCAAAACGCCATGCTTTACAGCGGCCATATTGTCTGCTGGACAATGGCTAATGGAAGGTTAAAGACGCGGAACACGGCGCCAAATCCATCTCCAGACACTAGAAGGGCCGCGGCTTCTTCCAGGCAGCTGCTGTCCACCGGCCAGGTGCAGCCAGAGGAGGGATGGCCGAGGAGGAGGACAACTCTGCTCCTCATCCAGGTCACAGTCATTCTAAAAAAGTTCAAATCAATCCGCTGGACTTTGTTTCCAAGTTTAAAGACGTTTCTCTTCCATCCAGGAAAACTTTTTGCATAATTTAATGGTAAAAGCTTTGCTCAAAATCATATTGTACACAATCAGATATACCTGATAACAGAGGGCAGAAAATAACCTTGACTTATTGCATATAATAAATTATTAATATCAAAAATGTATTTCTGTTTTTTCTTTTTACATATTTTGTTAGGAGGCCAAATAAGGAATTTAAACCCAAAAAAAGTTATTTTCTGTTTTGTTTTATTCTTGGATCGGGCTTTAAAGGGTTAAACTTTTTGGGGGAATCTTCTCCTTATCTTGACTAACTCTGCTCCTGCGGAGGAGCAGGAGATCTCTGAGGTTCCCCAAAGAACATGGAGAACAGAGAGGAGTGCTGATGACTCCTGCTGCTGGAGCAGGTCAGGTTCATCTCCAGCATCCAGAGGAGAAAACAGTGGAGGAGAAGCTCCAAGGAGAATTACAGAGAAGAAAAATCCTCCAAAGAGGAAAAAAGTTGGAAAAATAAAACAAAGAACCGATAAAATTCAATATTCTGCTTATTTCACTGAATGTCACTTTATAGAAACTATTCAACCAGATCATCCAGGATGGAGTCACAGCCAAACAGGAACAGACCAGATGAAGCTACTATGAGAAAAAGCAGAGAGAGCAGAACGTTAGAGATTGAACTAACAGATTCTGCAGAGTGGGAGAATAGAGATAGAATGAAGCAGAATGATGAAAAAGGGGTCCCTATGTCCTCCAGCAGTCTAAGCCTATAGCAGCAGAACTATTGAGATAGCTCAGGATAACCTGAGCCACTCTAACTAGAAGCTTTATCAAAAAGGAAAGTTTTAAGCCTAGCCTTAAAAGTAGACAGGGTGTCTGCCTCACTTATAGTTATTATTATTTATTGTTAGTTTATTTACTTGTTGTTGTTGTTTTTCCTGCAGGCTTCTCTCTCAGCGCTCTGAGGGAATAAAACTGTCAGCTAATAAAATGCTGCGGTTCTTAGATGCCTTGCCAAACGGTAACAGGCAGAGCGGCTGTTTCAGATTCTTTCTTCCACTTGACTGCAGCAGAACTAAAGGATGGAGGAGAGCCATGGAGGAAAGGTGCGACAGACTGCAACAAGCCCCCTCTGTTTGGGTCAGAAAGGAGACTGGATAACATTTGACTTTCTAATGGTTCTAATGGGATTACATGCTGCAGGCTGCAGACAGAGACATCAGCAGAGCTGTCAGCAGCTTTCACTCAGCTGGGCCTTCAGCGGCGTCGCTGCGGCTCTGGTGCGTCGCTACTGCGTCGCTGTTCCTGTTTCTGATGCTGCAGTGCGTGGATACAGCGGGGGCGGCCCTGGGCAGGAGGGCACCGCCACGGGAAAAAGTGTCTGAGCAGCACCTGGCAGCGCACCGGCCCACCACGCTGCTGCTGTAAACACCTTCAGCTGTTTGGGGGGGGGGGGGGGGGGGGGGGGTCATTTGCATACTTGTGTTTGTCAGTCTGCAGCTTCCTGTCCCACCAGAGCTGCTCTTCATTGTTTCAGCGGGACAGAGAGAAACCAGATCAGCTCATTTCACCCCGTTTATTACAAACATGGAAAGCTTTTTAAAAATAAAGACATAAAGCAGCGAAGGCCTCTTAAAGCATTTTATTGAGATCAGATTCAAACAGACACGGTCCGGATCCCAGCAGAGCCTGCAGAGCCTGATGTTCCAGTTTCCCAGGAAACATTCCCAGTTTCATTAGGAAGTGCTTTAATCTGCAGAGAAGCAACCTTCCTTCCTTCCTTCCTTCCTTCCTTCCTTCCTTCCTTCCTTCCTTCCTTCCTTCCTTCCTTCCTTCCTTCCTTCCTTCCTTCCTTCCTTCCTTCCTTCCTTCCTTCCTCTGCATTTAAATTAAATATATTATCATCTGTACAAAAATAGAATAAATAGCAGAAAAACACCTTTAGTTATCAACATGATAAAGGTCCATCTCGGTTCCACATTAACATAATGGCTTGATGGTTCCGGTTCTGGAGAACCGGTTCTGTTCAGGCCAGCAGGCCGAAGGGAGGCTCGTTCTCTATGTCCCTCAGGGCCGTCTGCTGCTGTTTCCGGGGGTCCTCGGGGGTCCACACCTTGGCGGTTCGGATGATGTTCTGCTCCCGGAGCTGCTTCTCATCCGACCAGGACAGCGAGTGTCCGGCCAGGGGGGGCAGGCCGTAGTCCGGGTCGCTGGGGGAGGGAGACCCTGGGGAGGAAAGACAGAAAGCATCAGCCTCCTGTTGCTCCGGGCGGAGCTGGAACCCAGCAGAACCTCTCCTCACACTTACTGGTTCCTCTGTGGCAGATGATGACCTTCTTGGGCGGCCCGTGCGTCTCGCTGCTGGAGTTCCTGATTGGCAGGTCGGACTGCACGAGCTCCGCCAGGAAGTTGATGTAGCCGATGGCCAGGCGCAGCGTGTCCACCTTGGACAGCCTCTTCTCGTAGGGCAGGGTGGGGATGTGGGAGCGCAGCCCCTCGAAGGCGTCGTTGATGGACTGCATCCTCCGGCGCTCGCGCACGTTGGCGGCCTGACGCAGCTGCTGCAGCTCCACCTCAGAGCGCAGCCGCCGGCGGCGCTTCAGCAGCGGCCCGCCGCTGCGCGGGGACAGGCTGCAGGACAAGGTGGGGGACGAGGAGGAGAAGGACAGGCTGCCCACGTCATAGTCCCCGTGGGGGGGCGCCGCCTGTCTGTAATAGTCCTGCAGGTGGGAGCTCAGGAAGTCCACGTCTTCGTCCAGGAAGTCCTCGGCGTCCAGCGGGCCGTCCCTGGAGGACTGGTCCGTGAAAAAGTCCTCGTCCTCGAAATAAGGCGGAGAGGACAGAGAGTCGAGCGCAGAGAAAGGATCCAGAACCGAGTCCATCTTTGCTCCCCTGGGGATCCGGGCCGGAACCGGTCCGCTCACAGTTTACCTCCAGCATCTCCCACGCGAGGATTCTTTATAGCAACATCCACAGTCGCGTGCCGCTTGCTGACCGGCCCAGCCAATCACCGCTCGGTCCGCGAGGCGCACCAAGAGCTCCTTCCCTGAAGCCACGCCCCCCGCCCCCCCGCAGCGCTGCAGACTGTCTGTAACAGGATGGTCCTTTAGTTTAGATTCATGTTTCTGTAGAAACTTTATTAATTCATTAATCATAAATTAATCAACACTTTGTTCTTTATTAGTAAATGATTTATTATACAGAATAACAATTTAAAGTGAACAATGACCAGAAGTTTCAACAAAAATAATGAAAATAAATAAAAAATAAAATAAAATAGTAATTAAGTGAAACTATTAATCCAACAGAATTCCTTTCTGTTATTGGAGGAGGAAAATGTAAAAAAATAAATTGTTGCTTCCTTTAAAAAAAAGAGGATTTAATTAAAAATAATTTTACATTTGAGGATAAAAAAACGTTTCTGAACATAAAGAAATGTTCAGAAACGTTAATTTTTTCTATGTTGTCATTCCAAGCAAAACATTCTTTAAAATGAAGTTCAAATTAATCAACAAAGTGACGTCAGCAGCATCTCAAACAGTTTAATAAACTCTAAAGGATCAAATTCCAGCAGCTTTATCATAATTTTTAATAATCACTATTATTAAAACCAAACAAAGGACGATTCTCCACTAGATTTAATGGTCATTTTTATAAAATCTGGAGACTTTGATTGATTCCTGCTATAAAAATAAAACATTAATACATTTTTATGTTCAACTAAACATTCAATGAATCAGATTAATATTTAATGATGTTTAATCAACCAACTTATTAACCCTTTATAGGCCGTTCAAGCCAATTGGCATCCAGGAAACTTATTACCTTTAGAACCTTCAGAAAAATCTGGAAATTTTAATGGTTAAAATTTAATATTAATATAATAACCAGGAACACGAACTTGCCCGAATATATTAAGAAAAATAAAAAAAAGTCCTTTTATAAGAAATTCATTAAAAATACACCGAGAGCGAAAAAAAAACCCATTTATTTGGTCCAACTTAACCTTAGAGGCATTGATGCTGATACTGGAACTGACTTTTTTTTTTTTTAAACCTAAATATAATTGTTAACTTGGCTTATTAACTTTTTAACTTTTCAAATAATTTTTTAACTTTTTTCCAAGTTAATTTCCAGCAGATAATCCATCATTCAAGGTTCATCTAATTGGTCAGAAGCCTAAATCAGATGTAGAGCCATGCAGCAGGATCTCTACTGAATGGTTGGATATAGATCTTCTGCTTCTAGATCTCACTGAGGGACGGGGGGGGGGGGGGGGGTGTAGGGATCAGAAACGCTAACTTACCTTCTAAAGTGTTTATGGCTGCGCATGCGCAGACGGGGCTGTTTATAGAAATATTTATCAATAACTAACGATGTGAATGGGGGGGGGGGACATAAATACAGACACCAGTGGAGCGGTCGATGGGCCACTAGTGGCAGACTGGGCCGGCTGACTGGGAGAACTGGTTGACACATAATGGCCCAGTGGAGAGCTCCGAGGCGCGCGCTCTATTGATACCTCACGCGACCAAATGAAAGGAGCGCAGATAGAGAAGCTGCCCCTCATCCCGCAATGAAAGGACTCACTTTGTCCCGCAGACAGAAAGGAGACAAGCTGCGGGGCGCGCGGCCCGCGTGGACGAGCATAGGTGGAGTGAAGGAAAAGCTGCAACACGGGCCGTGGCCGTGGGAAGGAGACCACTTGCTCTCCCAGCAGTCAATGCTGCCTGTTTGTCCTCATGATGAAGCTGTTGACGCTCAGACACCCCCCCCCCACCCCCCTCCCTGCATCAGGTGGAGCTGAACATGCCGGAGCTCCTCCATCATCTGGGGGGGGGGGGTCAGAGAGGTTAGGGGGGTCGGCAGTAAACAGACACGCGCTCCAGTCACAGATCACAGGTTCCGCCGGTCCTGCATCAGGTGGAGATGAAGACACCCCCTGCACCCCCCCATTCAGACCAGATGATCATTTGAACCGTGCGGGTCTCTAACGCACCGTGACCGCGCGCTCTGCGGAGCTTCATTCACGGATTGTTGTTGAGGAGGAGGCGACCTGCGAACAAGTGTTCTGGTTCCCATGCAGCCGCTCGCTCTGCAGAACGCAGCCGGCTGGACCCCCCCACCATGCAGCGGGATAGATCTGGATCCGCTAGATCAGCGTGTCCTGCTAGAACTGCTAAACTAGATTGGCAACAAGCAGCCAGGAAGAGTTTCTGATCAGATAATTGGGATAAATATCGATGATCAGCAGGAAACATCTGGGCTCTAAATCTGCCACAATGATAAAAAACAACAATAATACTGAAAATAAAAATCATTATGATAATAATAGTAGCCTATTTATAACGATAATAATAAATGTGATTGATTTATTAGATGTATTTTTTTGATTGATTTTGATTGATTTTTATTAGATTATAATTAGACATTAATCAGCATTCCTGCAAATGCACCATCTGTTCTGCACAGATCTTAAAATGCTAAATGGAATGTAACTACTTATATAGCGCCTTTATTCAAGGCAGGAGACTAATGGTTTAAACCTAAAAATGCTTTAAACCTAAAAATGGTTTAAACCTAAAAATGCTTTAAACCTAAAAATGCTTTAAACCTGAAAATGGTTTAAACCTAAAAATGGTTTAAACCTAAAAATGGTTTAAACCTAAAAATAGTTTAAACCTAAAAATGCTTTAAACCTAAAAATGGTTTAAACCTAAAAATGCTTTAAACCTAAAAATGCTTTAAACCTGAAAATGGTTTAAACCTAAAAATGGTTTAAACCTAAAAATAGTTTAAACCTAAAAATGGTTTAAACCTAAAAATGGTTTAAACCTAAAAATGGTTTAAACCTAAAAATGGTTTAAACCTAAAAATGGTTTAAACCTAAAAATGCTTTAAACCTAAAAATGGTTTAAACCGAAAAATAGTTTAAACCTAAAAATGGTTTAAACCTAAAAATGCTTTAAAACTAAAAACACAACAGTAAGAATTCTACAGTGAAAAATAAAAGAATTAAAAACAGATATAAATCTTCATAACTTGTTTAAAAATACAGAATTAATGTTCACTAAACTACAAATTTTAGGTTAATAGAATAAAACATTCAAAGAAATATAATGACACTATATATATATATATATAAATATATATATATATTTTTTCTTTTGATCCAGGTTAATGATCAAATGATAATAATGGTAATTTTATACTATTAATAGTAATGATAATAATAATCATAATAGCTATATCCATAATAATAATAATGGGGTTTAGGCCATAGAAAATGAATATTTAAGTTAATTAAAGGTCAAAGTCATCAAAACATGATGGGGGGGTGGAGGTGGGGGGCTGACAGATGCCAGAAAAGGAAATCCAAAAAGTGAACTAGCGCACACACACACATGTGTGGGATTAGAAATGAATCCTTCCTCAGTGCTAATCCATGTAATCTGCGGGGGATTATCCATCTGGATGAATACAGCAAATTAAAGGGATTTACTCTGCGGTGAATTTACATCTCGGCGCCCAGAGACCTGGCCTGGTTGGTGACCCGAAGGCTGCAACTTTTCATTCATCAGGTGCTCAAAGTCATGGAGCAGAAATCTGAGGCTAAAAATCAGCATCTTCACTCACTGATCTAATCTAGATCTATGATCTATGGGAGACGCAGGAAACAGGAAATGCATCAGTAGCACATTAACAGTCATCTTTGGGTTTGGGAACAGATCTTTTATTTATCCCTAACCTCCTTCAATATTCAGAATTGTCTTAATTATTTTATTTTTGGTTGTTTGGAAAATGTCATTAACCTGTTTGACTTCTGAAGTTTTTTTTAAATCTCTTTATAAACTGATTAAATCATTTCTAGTCCACACGTTGTTTAATCACTAGTGATGGCATCAGAGGAAAACAGGAATAATAAACCGATGCTAACAGCAGAATGGTACGAACAGGTCCTAAAAATCTGGTTCATGTTCTTTTCAATTCTATTCAGTTTATTTCTATAGCTCCAATTCACATCATGTCATCTCAGGTCACTTTATAGAGACGATTCAACCAGATCATCCAGTCAGATTGATTCAAAGTTTTCTATCTAAGGAAAACCAGCTGATTGCATCGACTCATTGACTCTTCAGCAATCCCTCATTCTATTCAGAGGAAGGAAGAACTTAATTTTAGAGACTTTTAATTGTTTTTGGCAGAACCTTCCTGATGGTTAGAGCCACACAGAGGATTATTACTCAGATAGATCTATAATCCAGATCAAGCTAACCGTTTACATAGATTACAGCAGGTCTGGAAAATTAGTAATGTTTTTATGGGATTCTTTATAAATAAGATTGATTTTATTAAAAATGAGATCATTAGCACTCCTCTATCCGCGATTGGTTTGTCTCTGGAGGGGGGGGGGCAGCATCTGAGGTAGTCATGGAATCTGAACCGGGTTTAGACTGCTTTGATCCAGTTGAACTTTCAGAGTTAGCAAAACTATTGTCTTCATCTAAGCCTTCAATTGGATGTTAGATCCAGTTCCAACCAGGTTATTTAAGGAGGTATTCCCTTTGATCTCCTCCTCCATTTTAGATGTGATTAATCTATCTCTGTTACAGGGATATGTACCTAAAGCTTTTAAGGTTGCTGTAATTAAACCTCTGCTTAAGAAACCGTCTCTTGACCGCGATGACTTGGTCAATTATAGACCTATATCCAATCTTCCTTTCTGATCTAAAATTCTTGGTAGTTGCCAAAAAGGTTTGCGATCACTTCCACCATAATGAACTTTTTGAACAGTTTCAGGGCGTTTTGAAGAGTTTCAGGGCGAGTACGTACTCGCGTTCTCGTGAAGGCCGTTCTTGGCGAGAACGCAGGAAGAGCGGACTTGACGAGAATGCGAGCACGCAAGCACGTATGTGTATTGGAGCAGAAGCGTACTCGTGACGTCATCACCTGCAACGTTGTTTAGCAT